TATTCCTAACAAGCCCATATGAGAGTTATGACCAGCTCAGCAGGCGGTCCACGCTGAGCAGCTTTTATAAATCGCAATGTTCCCATCAGCACCATTCGAGATGCCATCAGCAACGCCAACCAAAGCACCAGAATATGCCGACCATAACGAGATGTAAAGCGTTAGAAAACACTTTGAAATGAATAACAGCAACGCGCCGAAATTATAAAAAAAACTTCGGCTTTCTTTTTCAGTTAAACGAACCAACCCAACAATTCCAAGGTAAACTTCGCATGTACATAAACTTCCAGTTCTCCTCCCATTCCTTAAAGACGCTATTGCAATCACCATGCTAAGAAAAAATACCTGTAAATGCTGGACAAATGAGCGCATCCAACTCGAACTCCTGCCAGTCTTTCATGAACTGCAAGAAAATCTAACAGTTTGAAGATGTCCCCTGATATTTTTAAATCTACTTTGACAGCGCAAACATAATTTACTGCGTTTTCTTGCCTTTTCCGACTCTGTTCATTTGGTCGTGGATCTGACATTTCCTTCTTTCTCGGACGCAATAAACTTCGATTTTACAGTTATTTTATAAAACAGCTAATTCTGATATTAGCTTCAATAACAAATCATGAGCAGCACGCATCATGGCTGCAGGTGCAATCATGCGTTTTTGTGCGGTTTCTTGACGTAACCAAATCGTAACAGTATGAACTGCCGTTGCTTTACGGTCTGAAATGTGAACTCATGTTAGAAATGTTCTTATTCTTTCTTGTATGTAGAAAGGAGAAAGTTGTCGGCAAAGAAGGGAATGTCGCATTGTAGCTCCCTGTGAAATTTCAGCTTTCCAGCATGCACGATTGCCAAGAGGGGAAGGATCCCGATAATCTTGCAACTTGAAAATTGCAGCGCCCGTATTCAGCACAAAGCAATTTGCAAAGTTTGATAATACACTTTAGTGCCTCATAGAAGATGCCAGCATCCTCGTAAAATTTCAACTTTCTTGCCTGTCTAACCAGCTAGTGGAAGATGACGACTGTGTTGCAATTTAAGCATCTGTCATGTAAGTGCCCCGGGTACACGAATATAAAGCTCATTTTACGCCTACAGATCCGCACACAGAGTAAACATTTCAAAAATGCAGTTTCCTATTCAGCCTGATCATAGATAACTGGAATTTTACCAAGTTGTATGCGAGACTTAGTTGTAGCTCAAAGTGAATTTAAAATCTTTAATCTGCATATGGGCAGAGAATATTCTCGCAAAATTTCAGCTTCCTGTGGCTGTCTCGAAATCATTTTTCCACAAGGCTTTTCTACATTTCCTTTGAGGTACCATATGTGAAACCTAGGCTATTTGGAAGTTGATTTTATGCTCAGGGGGATCGCACACGGTCGATGGACATCCTCGTAAATTTTCAGTTCCTGAATTTCTCCGGTCATTCAGCTGAAAGTAAACGACAAAATACACATATAAACACGCACATACTCGTTTTTGTAGTG